TAAAAGATTTTTTTTAATTTTAATTTGATAAAAATAATATTATAATCTTAATTAATTAACAAATTAAGCTAACAATCTTAATTATTTATCATTAGTTTTGATTAATTTTAATTTAGTCCATTTAAGGACTTAGTTAGTAAATTGTATTGTGGAATGGTTTGAATATAAAATTTAATTAAAAATTTTGTGAAGTTTTTGGGGTTAAAGTGTAATTTTTCAAAACTGCATATACTACATAATTGGTGCCACATCAGCATCCCATAGGATTCCATTAAAAACACTAACGGAAGTTTGTTAGATAGATGAATTTGAAATGATTTTCAAAGTTTATAGATGATTTTGAAAGAAACTAAAATTTTTAGACTAAAATGAAAATAGAGTAATAGTTAGTAGATGAAAAATTAAATTTAGTCTTAAATAAATATTTTCCTCACTGTTCAATATTTTCAAAAAATTTTATCTTTGAAAAAGATGATTATTAGTTGTTAGGGATTCCTTCGCCTACCCAATAAAAGCTCTATAAAAATTAGGCACATTGGTAATTAGTCTTGCAAAATGTAAGATGCAGCTCATGATTTAACATTGTTTAAGGTGATAATTTTGTCTAGGAGGCTGTTTGCAAAATATAATTCAACAACATATATTTAATAAGTCTCTAACAGAGTAATGATGTGGCATAATGTTATTATATTTTAAATTTTTAGTTAGTTGTTCCATCCAATTATATAGCGGGGCAATTTACTTATGTTTTGTATAAAAGGTTGGATCTGTCAATTATAATTAAAGGGTGAATTTAGAAATTCTACCTTTATATATCAATCAAAACATAAGATAATCAAGATTGAAAATAAAAATAATTAACGTACCTACGAGTTTAGCAGATGGAATTGAAGAAAAGGATGTCCATACCCAAATTAAAAGTAGCAGCCAATCACAAGTCTAGTTATTTATAACTAGAGGGATGCGATGCGTATTTCCTGGAAGACAAGCATGATTTAGAAAGATCACAAGCAGATACTTGTGTATTTACTAGAAGTACTCAAAAAGAGAACTCACATTATTAATTAAGTAGCTACTAATTAATTAATTTGGTACTATAGAAGCAGACAATTTGAAAAAGAAAAATCGATAAAGAAAGACAATTTTAAAAAGATTTGTTTAATTTGTACATTTAAAATACAAGTTTAAAAAGTATTAACTACATTTTTTAAATTAATTTATATAAAAAAAATAAAAGTTGACTTTAAATTTATCAATTACCCAATTAAAATCATCCAAATGATATTGGTATTAAAAATAATGTTTTATTTTTATATTTTTCTATAAAAATTTATTATAAAATAATATATTTAATGCATTTTAACATATACCCTAAAACTCAAATTAGATAGATCCATTTGAAGAATCTAACAATTTGTGCTAAAACAATTTAAAATTGATGAATATCCTAACTGGAATGAAGTTTCTTCGTCAATAAGGACATGCAACTATAAAAAAATTTAGATATTTTTTATGTTATATTTCATAGAAAATATAACTGAACTGAGATCGAAGATCTAAATGGTATACCTCTAGGTTTCATTGAAGAAATTGCAGAAAATGGATCTAACTCATAGCCAAATCAGGCAGGCCAAGAAAATTAGAAATAGTAGTGAATCAGTTCAATTGCAAGGCTAATTTTGTGAGATGATAAAAAGTGAGTCGGCTAAACAGAAAAGGAGAGAGAACTTGTACAAATTATAGTCGGAAATTTCTTGGAAGATGCTTTGGGAAATGCCAATGAATGAATCTACAAAGACAATGAGAAAGTTGCAAAGTTACTTTATTATAAAGTGATCAATAATAATCTCAAGAATTGGATCTAATAATAAATAATGTCATTTTATAAATTAGATTTAAAGTTAACATCTTGAGATCAACATCTAAAGAAATTATTCTCTTTAAATCATTTACTTTTTTGCTTTTTATCTATTCTAAAAATAAGTTTTAATCATTTGCCTTCTCTTTTGAGAAAAGTTTTTCTCAACATTCCTTATTTCTAAAAAAATTTTGAATTTGAAAAAGATAATTTAGTTGAACTCAGGATGACTTAGGGACTCCTTCCCCGACCTAATAAAAGCTTTGCAACAATGGAGGACATTGATTTAGAATCATTTGTTTAAGGTGATATTTTCGTTTGGGAGATTGGTTGCAAAATATTTCAACAACATATATTTAGTAAGATTTTAACAGACTCATAACATGGTGTAATGTTACATATTAAACTTTTAGTTATTTGTTCCATTCAATTACTTAGGGGAGTGATTTGTCTCCATTTTGTATTGAAGGTAACTAGATTTGTCAATTATAGTTAAGAGTTGAATTTGAGCACTCTACCTTAATACATCAATAAGAATATAAGATAATCAAGATTAAAAATAAAGATAAATAGTGTACTTGCAAGTTTAGTGGACGGAATCGAAGAAATGGATGTCCATGACCAAATTAAAAGTAGCAACCGCTTAGCTTAAATATTTCATGCCTAGTTATTTGTAACAAGAGGGATGCAAATGGATATTTCTTGGAAAACAAACATGATTTAGAAAGATCACTTGGAGACATTTCTATGTTTATTAGAAGTACAAAAAAAAAAAAAAAAAAAAA